TTCCTGACATGTAGCTTCACCCCAATGGTTCAGGTAGTGGAATTTAAATACGCTTACAGTACATGCAGAACAAAATACTGTTTTCCCTTTAACATTTCTTTTCAACTTTTCTGATGAGTTGAAGGCAAAATGCTATGACAATTCAAGGCCAAGATCGATAGATTTTTAATCAGTAAAGGAATCAAGGGGAAAATGCAATAAAGTGGAATTGAGGATGATCAGATTAGCCATAATCTCATTGAATGGCACAGCTGATTTGATGGACTGAATGGCCTACTTCTGCTCCTACACCTCATGGTCTTAAAAATTGCCTTTTCTCAGTAACACTTCAATTCAGTTAACTTCAAACAAAAACGTACAAAATTCCCTGACAGAAATTTACAAAACTGAGAGGCGTGGATAGAATGGATAGTAGGAAGCTTTTTCCCCAGGGTAGAAATGCTTATAACCGGGGAGACATAGGTTTAAGGAGAGAGAGGGGGTTAGTTTAAGGAGATGTGAGAGGCAGATTTTTTTACCTAGAGGGCCTGGAATGCACTGCCAGAGAAGGTGGTGGAAGCAGATACAATAGCAACATTTAAGAGGCATTTTAACAGATACACAAATAGGCAGGGAATAGAGGGATACAGACTGCGTAGAGGGAAGGGTTTTTTTAGTTTATCATGGAATCCCTACAGTGTGGAAACAGGCCATTTAGCTTGAAAAGAAAACCATCCCACCCAGAACCATTCCCATACCTAACCCAAACATCCCTGGGCATTTTAGTACAGCCAATCCACCTGACCTGCACATCTTTGAAAACAAAACTAAAGTTGCTGGAAAAGCTCAGCAGATCTGGCAGCATCTGTAAGGAAAAAACAGAGTTAATGTTTTGGGTTTGGTGACCCTTCCTCAGAGCCCGCACATCTTTGGAATGTGGGAGGAAACCGGAGGAAACCCACACAGACACAGGGAGAATGAGCAAACTCTACACAGACAGTCGCCTAAAGGTGGAAGTGAACCTGGCCCCCTGGTGCTGTGAAGCAGCAGTGATAACCACTGAGCCACTGTGCTGCCCTTTTTTTCACTAAGTAAATCTCACAGCCCCTACAATCTCCTCCGTTACCTCTCTGAACACCCTTGGATACATCTCATCTGAAGTTTAGGAAGGTGTCACGAGTCAGCACAGTATTGGTGGGCCAAAGGGCCTGTTCCTGTGCTGTACTTTTTTTTGTTCTTTGCAGCACAAGTACAGGAAAAGACTGCTATAAAACTATAATTCATTATCGCTAAAAAAAAACTTTGGGTCACGAATGTCCTTTAGGGAAGGAAACTGCCATCCTTATCTGGTCTGGCCTACATGTGACTCCAGACCCACAGCAATGTGGTTGACTCTCAACTGCCCTCTGAAATGGTACCAGTAAGATACTCATTTCAAGGGCAATTTAGGATGGACTACAAATGCTGGTCTTGCTAGTGACACCCATATCCCCTGAAAGCATGAAATGGAAAAAAAATGGTTCAACAATATTCTATATTTATTCTCATGATGTACAGGAAGATTTAGGATGTGCGTGAATCCCATCCCCCTGCTCCCCTTGTCCGTCTAGGGGTTGGGAGTCATCTGATGGTTAGCTCAGTCGGTTGGATAGTTGGTGGTTTGAGAGAGACAGGTTTTTAATGCCCTGGGCTACGCTCCGAAAGCTTGTGTTTTCAAATAAACCTGTCGGGCTATAACCTGGTGCTGTGTAATTTCGGACTATGTCCACTCCAGTCCAACCTCCACATCATGGCTACTCCCCTCTTATTGAATGGTAGAGCAGGCTCGAAGGGCTGAATGGCCTACTTCTGCTCCTTTTTTATTTGGTCTCCTGCAGAGTGTTGCCAACTGCTCAGGTTCAAGTCCCATTGTGGCAGAGATCACGGGAAGGCTCTGCCTTCTGTGAGTGAGCTGCAGTGACCCTCGGGCCAAGTTCACCATCAATTACCTTGCTCTGAGTGGCTCAGTGGTTAGCGGTTAGCGGTTAGCGGTTAGCACTACTGCCTCACAGCACCAGGGACCCAAGTTCGATCCCAGTCTCGGGTGACCATCTGTGTGGAGTTTGTACGTTCTCCCGGTGTCTGAGTGGGTTTCCCCCCACAGTCCAAAGATGTGCAGGTTAGGTGGGTTGGCCATGCTACATTGTACGTAGTGTTCAGGGATGTGTAGATTAGGTGTGTTAGCCATAGAAAATACAAGGTTACAGGGAAAAGGTAGGGGGATGGAGCTGGGTGGGACGCTCTTCAGAGGGCTGTTTGGGCTGGAGGGCCTACCCTGTGTTATGGGGACTTTTGCTCAATGGTGATAACTCGTGGAGAACTCTCTCCTGCTGTTTGTATGAGCCAGGTGACATGGTCTGTGCTGGGAAAAGGAATTTATCAAGTTAGACACCATCGTAAACAGCAGGGAATATGCAGTGTGGAGGAGTCACAGTTGCAATCAGTTGTTCCAAGGCCATGTCCTTGTCTTGCTCAGAACATGTTCAAAATAGATTGAAATCCTGGATTAAAACTCTCACAATACCCATCACCGCTCTGTTAAATTGTTTCACTGCATGAACGTCAGCAGTTCCTACAGTGTTGCTGAGATCAAAATCCTGGCACTGTGGCCCAGTGCAGTTTACTCTGGATACCAGTAACCCAATGCCCATTACTAAAGCAAAGTCCAATAAAAAAACTGCAAAAATCTTACCCTCACAATCACAAGTGAACCTGTTCACGTGATTTTCCCAGGGATCAGTCTGAACCAGGTAACCAGCTCACTCCATCCCAATCTCCAGTCATTGCTCAGATGTACCCTTCTGAGCTAACGAACTACGCTGTGAGGCAAGCTTTCTCAAACTGACACAAAACAGTCCACATGATCACACTGTGTGTTTTTAAACAAGAGTGCGCTCTTTCAGAGTGACGTTTCAGTCCATCACTGCTCAGTGACAACACTTAACCTAAACACA